GCAAAGTAAATGAGTCATATCAAGTTTGATCCTCGTGACAGAAGGAATCACATACTGTGCTGTGTATCCCTAAAAAGTGGTTACATTAAATTTTCTTCCTCTTATTTAGCTTTAACACTTCAAAAACTAGCATTTCAGAAAGAAGGCGATGACTTACTAAAGTAACTGTACTTCAGGCAAAATAAAGGAGCTTTTCTGTTTATACACTTTGTGCTCATCATTTCATTAGGCAATTAGCTCCCCAATCTGTTAAGAATATGAGTGCTCCAGCCAATGATAAAAGAGAAATAAAAGATTCCCAGGAAAGATGTAAACCAATTGAAAACCATAAGTACATGGGATTAATTAATTTCTTCCTGTATCTAGTTTCTGGTTGGAAATGGAGGAAAAAGAAACAAGGTTGGGAGATTTATCTGAAAACAAAGCGATGACAGAACAGTAATGAATTACTTTTCTGTACAAGGATTCCTGTGGGTTTGGGGTACACCAGGGGTTTGTCAATCAGCTAAATGTCACAGCTCTAGGAGGTGGTTGCAATTTTTTCCCTCCCTGAAGTCCTCTCAACTCATAATTATTTGCAAGGTCACCACCTGATACTTAGATACACCGTCAGGAAACACTAAATGCTGGAAATGCAGTCATTCACAGGCAGCAGGATCTGGCACTCATTGTCCATGAACCATGGCCTCTTCTGGATAGGAATCAAGCTTGAGTAGAACTAGTACCCAAACTGCCTGATTAAAGGTCAAAGCTAGTGTTTTTATCTTCTTATTCCATTAAAATCCTGCTCATGGTGAGGCTCAAAGCTGGTGTTTTTATCTTCTTATTCCATTAAAATCCTGCTCATGGTGAGGCTCATTAGGTCTCATCTCCACTCAAGTTTTATTTGTTTACACTGAGGACATTGATCTGCCTTTTGAATGTCAAGTTGATTCATGGCCTCTATCAATGCATTGAAAATAAAATATACCATTTTCTCACTGTTTTTTCTTTTTCAATAAAATATAAAGGATACATTACTATTTCATTAATGTGTATTGTGCTTTTTTGGTGATATAATCTTTTTAAGTTATATTTAATGCTATGGAAAATGACCTTGTTTCTCTAAGATTTTAAAATATAATCACTGAGTTGTGATACTACAAGTAGAATTTAAGAACTTATACTTCAAAGGTCAGATAAAAAAATGGGATAAGGTAAGTCAGAAAACTAAGGACTACAGAGATTAGTTAAATTTTCTGGAAGATTGATGAGATGGGCGGGTTCCAATAGTGATTAGTGATGTATCTCAATGTTAAATCCAATAATACCAGCAAAGGAAGATAAATGATATGTCACAGATAGATCAGTTCCCCAAGATGGCAGTTAAGCTAGTTATGAAATATATATATATATACATATATATATAAAAATCAATCATTTTCCAATATACCACCAATAAGTTAGGAATATCAAGAGGCAGAACATTTATAAAAGCAAGATAAATATAAAATAACTATGAAATAATTTAAAATTTTAATGAGATGTAAAAGGACCCTTGTATAAATGAGGAAATATATAAGAACCTGCACATGAAGGCGTGCTATTGCAACATGATGTGCCTCTTAAAATTACTTTGCAAATTTTAAAATTCTCCATGGATTTTTTTAACAATAACTTGAAGATATAAAACTTATATTAAAAAGGTAAAACCAAAAAATCCATTCTTTGGAAAAAAAACAATTCAGGTAGTCTTCACTATCATATTTTCAAATACAACCAAGTGTTCAAGAATTAAGACAATGATAGATTATACTAGAAGGCATAATTTTATCAGTGGTACAAGACTGTGAGCTGTCATGTAAATGTAGTGTAAGTATTTAGTAAAGGTAAGAGTGGCATTTTAAATATGTGGATAAAAAATTAAATCGCTCAAGTAGCAATTTGGGAATAATTAGTTAGCTGTTTGTTTAAAAAAATCAGCTGGAATCCTATTTGGATGCTTTTAAATTCTCTCCAAGTCTCTCCAAAGCTCAGAAGGTCTTCAATATTTTTGCTCTTAAGTATGTTGACTTCTCTCTTGGATGCATTTCACTAACTAATAAGAAAAGCTAAGTGTCCCTTATTTGACATGGTATGTAAATTCCCCTATTGTTCCATCTGCTTTGCTGAGGTCACAGACTTTTAAAAAAAAAAAATGTGTAACTTCCTTATCTAGAATGATTATGTACCACTTTCCTCTCGGCATTTATCGCCTACTTCTATAGATGCATTTATCGCCTACTTCTATAGATATTTATTTGTTCAGTTGTCTAAAAATTGAAAAGGAATTAGTGGTGTAGTAGTGTTTAAAGTCTCAGCACTATCAAGCTATCACCAGATCCCCGACCAGGAAGCTGACTGACATGGTGCAGCAGATCTTTCCTGTCTCTCCATTGTTCCTCTAAGCATTGTATTTTAGTCAATCCAGCTGTTCTGCTCCCACTCTGGCTCTGGTGAATCTTCTCATCCTTGCACCTCTAGCCTACACCCCAGCTCTTCTATGCGTAAGTAAATAAATCTTTAAAACAAATTGAAAAGGACTTTACCAGAGAAGCTAGATACCTTCCTCCAGCTAAATACCTCCAGCTAAATAACTGAAGAGTTCAATTGTTTCAAAGCCAAAATATTTCTCAGGTTAGAACTCTGTTGATACAGCTTAGAATTGATTATTAATGTTTGAAATGAAATTACAAATAAAAGGTTTCTAAATGAGAAACATTTGGTTTAAATCTTACTAGTAAAGATACCAGTAAATCAACTAACTGACCACTTTGTGTTTTATTTTCCACACGTATGAAATGAGTGTATTTCTATTCACTTAACATTCCTTACTGAGGTGTTAGGACACATGAATGAAATAGTGTTTATCAAAGTACATGGAAAACATTAAGGCACTATATAAATATAAATGTTAGCTGGCGTTTACATGCTATGTGTTTATATAACAGAGCACAAGATAAATTTTAGTTTGAATTCTATATTTACATTGAGATTACAAGTGTACCACATACTGATGATGCAAATTAGCACATCCCACTTTAGAGAGAAGAAAAAGGAACTGACAGACCTATTTCTTGTGAAATACCAAAACCATACAAACAGTTTTTGTTTTAGCTGCCTTCAGGCTTCAAATGACCATTTGGAATTTGAGCTATAGTGTTTTCTCTGAAAAGTAAGTAAAATAATCCAGATAACCCTTGAGGTGGGTGGGAGTTAAGTGAGGCAGAGGATGAAGAAGGGGAAATAATGACAGACTCTGTCCTGAGTCACCTCCTGGAAGTTAGGTTAAGCAGTCGGAACATATTTTATCCATTCTCTGACACAATAGACACACATACTGCATTTAAGACAGACCACAAATGGCTTACATTTCATTTTTCTTAAAAGCTTAGAACAGTCAGCCTTCCCTACTGAGACAGGACTTTTCATCTAGGTAAAAATATATAACAGTTTTCAAAAAGAAATGTTGGCTTTCTCACTCTGAAGGATTCATTACACTAGACATTATGGAGGAGATATCAGCTCAATAGTGACTTGAAAAGTGTCAAAATGCCTGCCATTTCACTCCTCTTTGGGCTATCACACAAAAATCTTTCAAAATTCTATTTGGCCACTCTTTTTAAATCAAAGACCTAATCCTTGATTAAACAACATGGTGATATGAATCAAATGCATTTTGAAGGGTTGGTGCCAAGAAAGAGACTTTGTGTTTAAAAGACCAAATAGTAGATTTACCTGGCTTTAAACCCCACAAAACTCATTATATTAATAAAAGAAGAGCATTGTTTTAGTTTAACTTGTGAGAAAAATATTTGTTTGCTTTACCTTTCCATTAAAGGAAATTTGAGAGCTTCTTAAATGGACTTAGGCACAAAATATTTACCTTTTGGAACTGTATATACATCCATTTAATCAATTTACTAACTCGATACATTTTGAATGCTTTTAAGTCATGTCCTCTGCTAAGCTCTCTGGATTCAAAGACACTGTGCTGCTTCTCCCAATACATACAATATTTTTTTTTAAAAAAACAGATTTGATAATTGTCAGCAAGAAACAAATGAGATACTCTAACAGAGGGCAACTACTTTAGATAAGGTGGCAGAGAAGACATTTATGAGGACCTGGAATTTAAGATGAGCCCTCAGTGATATGGCAGATAAGCTAAAAACTAGGTTTCATCCTAGCTGCTTCATTCTCCCATTTCCCATATTCAATCCTTGTCCAACTTCTGTTTTTATGATCACACACATACACATATATACATCTTCTGCCAATTCATCCAAACTACCAACATCTCTCAGCTTGATTAGTGAACTAGGCTCCTCACTCATTTTCCTGATATAATGCCTACACACTCTCCACCCTAAACCCAAGCTAAGTTTTGTATGATTTTTCCCAAAAGACCACATGAGTTTTCCCACGCCTGCTTAATATAGTGGCTGATGTATCTGCACTCAGGATACAGGTCTAACTCCTTAGGTTGTCAGTAACATCACAGAAGGTACGGCCTCTCTCTACAATAGCTTTCATCTTGTATCATGCCACTTTTGGTCTTCTTTAGTTTAGCTTAATTGTCAATTTTATTTCCTTGAAAGACCATGCCCATCTAGCACAGCGTCTTTGCATATGCTATTCCTGTGTCTGGTCCTCCTTTGCCTCGCTATAATTACTTCTTTATCTCTAAGTGTTATCTCCTCTGGCATGAGTTAGGTGTTCTGTCTTGTGTTTGTTTACACACTTGTCTCCCCAACATAATACATGCTGGTTAAGCTCTCTGTGTCTCAGCACCAAGTGTAGTGTTTGGTACCCAGTAAGGACTTTCATTGTATTATGAGTAAATACAGTAGCTCATCAATAGGAAGAAAAGTAAGTTCTGTGAGAGTTGAATGTATACTTTTTGGTCCATTAAGAAACAGCAATAATGTAAGAAAAAAATTTTCCAAGCAGTAGTAGAAAATATATTAAAATTTCCTTACTTTTTTGGTTTTGCCCATTGCCTTCAGGATGGAAAGATTTAGGTCTTCAAGTGCTGCCAGAACATTCTCATACTCTCCCAAATGCTGAGAAAAATATTCTGAAAAGTAAGATTGAAATGTTTTCATGTCTGCATTTATATAATCATAAACCAAAAAACCAACTTGATTTTCACCATAAACAAGTAAAATGAAATGCCAGCTATAAATGAAAACTGAAAGGTTTTCAAATGAGACTAAGATGTTAATGAAATGTATGTATTGACAAGACCTAGATGGTTACATTATTCTTGAAATGTTCTTTCTGAAGAAAAAAAAATCTTGATCCACAGACATAACTGTTTCAATAAAAAAATATTCTCAGCAGCATATTTTTATATTCCTAGAAAAGAGATGAAATGTGTATATCTAAGTGTAAGAGTTGTTAGAGATGGTATAGCTCAGGGTCACTGAAATTATTTTCTAATTTCCTCACTAAGGAGACGTGTCAGGGCAAAAAGGGCTCCAATGAACACAAACAAGAAGTTAGGGGAAAGAGTGCGGGCATCTAAATAAAAAAAGGAGACAAACCCCTCTCCACTTCATGGTATTTGTTCACTTGCTGATCCCATGCTATAACACATAGGTATAGGACGCCTTCTTGTGCCAACTACTATACTAGATTTAAATACAAAGGTGAAAAAAAGAACACCTCTATCTTTAAGGAGACTACAGTCAGGGGAAAGAAATAGTCCAACAAGCAATTGCCATACACATGAACATTGTTGAAGCCAATTATGTAAGAGCCCAGGAACAAGGTGCAACAAAAGTATAGGACAAAGAATAACCAAGTCCACCTGGCATAAATCCGAATCCAGTGGAGATTCCAATAGGATATGAACAGGTACGTACTATATCCTCTGCAGGATAATCAGAGGGAGGATAAACAAAGGCATGGAAGCAGACAGTGTCAGGTTTGCAGAAGAATGCCAGGTTTGCAGGGGAATGTCTAGTTCAGCACCATAACACAGGCAGACATAGGAGATATTTAAGAAAAGGCAGCAAGGTGCTAAAAATTGGTGATAAGCAAGGAGGTGCAGTATTGGACATACTCTTAGACTCCTCAAGTCCACCTCAGACCTCTTAGTCGTAAACTGTGTTTTTAGTTAAATTTCCATCTCAGATTATTTCATTGGTTTTTTTGAGGGGCACAGTAGGTACCTGTTGACTATCTTGTATGACAAGATCTAGCAATCAGGAGAAAATATATTTACACAGTAAGAACTCAAATACCCAAAGGGTATTTGGTTTGATTCACTCTTGACTCTTTGATTCCAAGAACCTGCATTATTTTAAGGCCCAGAGAGGGGATAATTTGTGGACACATTTAAGTCTGAGAAAGTGCAGTTCTGGAGCCCTTATTAAGAGTGAAGATTGCAAGAAGGTCTTGTATATTACATCAGAATCATTGTGTTGACTCCCAGGAATCATTTTTATAAACTCACTAGGAGGCAAGGAACAGATTAAATCTGAGAATCACTGGACAATGAGGAGCCATTCAAAAATTTTGAGGAGGAAAGTGACATCCTCAAATGTTACTATTTAAAAGATTGTTCTGAATGTACTGTGGAAGGTTTGGGGAATGTTGTTGGTGACACAAATTTGGCAAAGAAAATGATTACTGAGTGGCCAGGAGTGATTTCTTCACAGAGTAAGAACCACAGGCCACATCAAAGCTCAGAGATGGAAATGGGTGAGAATAGGCAGGAGCACTTTCTATTAGCTCACCCCAAAATGTGGCCAGCAGGGAAGGAAGGTCAGCGATGGCTTTGCACGTGCTTGAGTTGGACTAAGATTTTATTCCTGTTTTTGTGACTCATGCTTCTCATTGAATCATGATGCTAATGTGGGCCATGCAAATGTGTTTCATCCTTAAATCACAGAATTAAAGAGAAAGATTCAGAAATACTAATTCCTTAAAATTTTTGTCTTTTGGAAACTAGAATAACTTGATGGAGAAAAGACCTACTGATATGTGGGTTCTCTGGTCAAGAAAATGAGAGTATCATGTACAAGGAAATATTTAAGGACCAACCCTTGTCCTTGTAAGTCTTGGAAAAGTTAAAAAGTATAGACATCAGAGCACTTCAGAGCATGTCATAAACAAGTCCTCTGTCGGGAAGTGAATCATCTACTCATGGATATTCAATTCTGCATTTTCTGTGATAAAATACTAAACCAAGGTTAATTACCCTGTGTCTAATGTCAGTGGTGTGCCATAACCAAACTACAGGGCTTTTTGTTTTTTTCTTTCTATTCTGTATTTCAGATTTTTGAAGTCATGCTTAAGAATTCCAAATGAGGCCCTCCCTGGTGGCGCAGCAGGTTAAAGCACAGCACTGAGAAGCTAAAGCCGCTTCCGCATGAGTTCGATTCCCGCCTGCCCTGGAGGTGACCCACATGGCGCGGCAGACCTCTCCTGACCCACCCGCTGCTCCCCTCCGCAGTGTACTTCGTCGATCTGCCTGTTCTGTTCCCCACTCTGTCTCTGGTGAAGCCTCTCACCGCCCCTGAGCCTCTGGCCTGTACCCCAGTTCTGTATGTACAAATAAATAAATCTTTAAAAAAAAAAAAAAAGAATTCCAAATGAGGCCCTCCCTGGTGGAGCAGTGGGTTAAAGCACAGCACTAAGAAGCTAAAGCCACTTCCACATGAGTTCGAATCCCACCTACCCCGGAGGAGATCCACATGGCGCAGCAGACCTCTCCTGACCTGCCTGCTGCTCCCCTCAGCAGTGTACTTTGTAGATCTGCCTGTTCTGTTCCCGGCTCTATCCCTGGTGAATCCTCTCACCCTCTGCATTTCTGGCCTGTACCCCAGTTCTATATGAATAAAAAACCAAATCTTTAAAAAAAAAGAATTCCAAATGAAAATGAGAGGAACTAAGGTTCACAGCTAGGCGTACAGGGAGAAGAGGGAGGGAAGTGGGGCAGGGAGTACTTGGAATACTCGTACTCCAAGTAATCACATCTATGGCATCAATGGGGCTGCAAGAACATTTTGAAGGGATGAGATCAGCATTGATTTTTACAATTCACTTTGGTGATTTTATAAATGTTTCAGGCAGACACACAAGTCTGTAACAGGCTTACAGAGGAATAGCAACTTGGATTTTCTAGCACATAAACCCAGCTAACCCAGGTCCTGCTATGCAGCCCAGGCTCTGGTGAAGGCATCCACGGGCCTCTGCAGTGTGAGTTGGGTGTTTCTGGCTCAGCGACAAGAAGGAACCTCACCTATGACACCAGTGCCAATTAATGGTAGATTCCTCTACCCTTGGTTCCTATAGATCCTATTTCTAGACTATAAAAGTAATTTAACATTTGGTAGGCAACAGTTGGATGAAAAGTTAGATTACTGAATGTATTCAGCCTTGCTCTTCAAGCTTTTTTGCAGCTACTCTTTTAGATCTACTACTCTACCTATAGAACTTGCCTGGCAATTGTTCTTCACCCATCTATTAATATCTCAAAATATATAGCTATCCAGTAAAAGATCTCTAAAAGCATGCAGTGAAAAAGAAAGGTTACAAAAACAGTTACTCTGGGAGGGCCAGTTTTAGCTCACAGAATAGGAAACCAGAGACTCCATGCTAGGATTCAAAAACAATGACCTGATTAAACGGAACCATGTAGCTTCTGATAGGAATAAGACACAGATTAAAGCTGCCGTTTAGCAAGGTCTTCCTAACTGTGGGAGGAGTATCGGCATGCCGATACACTGCTAGCGGAGTGCACTTCACAAGAACCTCTGCTGAGGTGTTGTACTTATAGGAATCTACTGGCGTGAGCGGCTCGTATCAGAGAAAGATACTTGTTTCAATGTTCTTTGTCCAAGCAGAAAGTTGGAAATAACCTGAAAACCCATTCAGAGAGAATTGATTGCAAGATTAAATAGAAGGAAGTAGAACAGTATCTCCAGTATTCTGCTTCCCTGATCACACAGCATGATCTCACTGTAGGATAAATACGTAATTATCATTGTCAGTATAGGAATGTTGTCTGCAAGGATGCATTTGTAGCAGTTAGCAATGGCAATCAGTACAAGGGGGAAAGAGCCAACTTCTTATTCACTAACAGACAGTCAAAAGATGATATTCTTATTTCTACATCTACAAAATTCTATAATGCTAAGTGAGAGGCATTATTTTCAAATTTGAAATAAAAATATTTTTAAAATACCATATGATTTTTATTTTAAATTCCACATCCATGTATCATGAAGTGACACAATAAGTAAAGGCAGAAGGAAAAGTCTGATAACCTGGACCTTTTAACTGACTACTAAGGACAAGGAGGAGAGGCCTATTTTCTATGCCAGTCAACTACTGTCCCTCCCACAAACAAAGGGAATTTGTGTGGGGTGTGAGTAGACATATTTCTCTTGATAGCACTGAAACATTTGGTTTTGACTAGAATCCAACTTAAATATTTACTTTATATTCACAAAATAATGAGAAATTAAACTACTCTGTGGGAATTAAAACGCATATTCTTCAACAGAGAGGGGGAGGATTATAACACACCCATGAGTACAATCACTGCGTTTAAAAATAAAGTAATTTCATTGAATTATACCATCCCTTAGCTCCCTAACTAAAACTATGGAAGGCCAGAAGGGGAGGAAGAGAGAAAGATTTTCCAATAAATACAAAGTAGATTCCTGACCTTTTCCCATTTTTTTAGAGGACAAATTCAAAACATTCAAATAAAAAGAGGATTCAGTGGCGATACATCATACTAAGAGGATAAATACTTTTTAGCAACACTATTAACCGAAGACAGGATATGTTAACTCCTGATTTTTAAAAAATGGTTATTATCTAATTAGATTCACTGTAGGAAATCTAAAACACCATGTCATGAGGGTAAATTCCAGTTTTGAGAAGAAGCCAAGCAGAGGTAGTCAGTCGAGCTGAGAACATTTGATTTTTGAGGGAATTGAGAATCCCCAGAATTCTCATCAGCCCTGCGCTGCTCTGTAACCTATTTCTCTTTCTGTGTCCCCAGTGGTGGGGCTCATGAAGCTTCTTTTTGAAGCTAGCATCAGGGAGATGCTCTGGGATCTTCACATCACAGACAGCAGGTGGTGATGACATATTTCTGGGGTGTCCTATGTAGGGGGGACTCAATTTAGGGATAGAGGTCCAGTTACAAGTTGCAGTCATTGCTCAACTGCTTCAAGAGACCTTCTGTCTCTGTGACACCCAGTTTGGCTCATCAGAATGGCCTCAAGAGAAATGCCAGCTCAGGGCTTTTTGAGGGTCATCTTCAGTAGAAAGATACCTAGGCATTTTGAGAAGGTGAACCACGCAAGTACTGCTTTTCTTGTCTCCACAGACTGGTTTTGTGACAGTAGTAAGTACCTCCTCCTTGTTCTTTTCTATGCTGGATTTAGCTCCTGAAAGCTTTCAGTGGGCAGAAAGAGGTACACCCAGGACTCCCAAACCTGCCTGCTTTAAATAAGTACTGTCATCTGATACATCAAGACAAAACATGTTCTAGTTCATAAGACCTTAAATGGGAATGAACATTAACACTATCAGAGTTCAATAAAGAGAAGAGAAAGAACATAATATGAAATACCCAGCTACCCATCCCATCATGGGTAAAAGCCCAGCCAAACAGGATTGGCCCAAAGCAAGGTCACTGAAGCCCAAAGCCTGCCACAAGTCTAAGGCACCCCCTGGGGAGGAGAGCCCACAGGAAAGGGGCAGAAGAGGTGAGGCAAGCCTGGAAGGAAAGGAGCAACATCAAAATCCAAGTCAAGATAAAGGCACTATTGTTAGCATCCCCAGGTCTCTTACCCTGGGCTCTGTTTCTTTCAAGTATCTCCTTTTATGTCCCCAAGTCCCTGGTTCAAGTCCAAGTAATTGCAGTTCTTTCTTCACTAGCCTCTCTGCTCCCTGTGCCTCCTCCCAGCTTTCTTGATCTGCTTCTCACTGCTCAGCTCTGCCTTCCCATGAATGCAACAGGGAACCCAGCACCTCCCCTTTCTCTGGATATCATACTGCTGTACTTCCCTGTGTGCCCTTTCTGGAAAAGCAAATTGGGAGTGCCTGACAGGTCCAGGTCCTCTCACAAGGACAGGTTTTTGGCTACAGAATGGCTTACCTTTTTTGGGTTTTGGCCTTGGCTTTTATATAATAGTTTATTTTTACATCATTTGTGCCTTTTTCCATCTCAGTTGTATCCTGGTGGGCTTCCCATCACCAAATCACCAAATCACCTGTGTGCCATCACCATAGTCCAGTGCACTTCCTCCTGTCCCCTCCCCCCCAGCCTTGGCATATTTAACTTTATCACTAGCATTAGCTTTCTTGGCTCCTTTCTTCTCTTTAGCAGCCATCTTCTCGGCTTTTTTATCCTCCATCTTACAAGATGGGAAAGAGAATCATGGCCCCAGTTTCTGATTTATAAACTATGTCACTCTAAATGACAATAGGTAGAAACGTAGCACACTTCTATAGAACACTGAGTATCTAAATCTATGGAATGTTTGCTTTCTCATGAACGATACCTACCTAGGCAAAGGTAAGTGGTAAAGCATAATTATCTGGATGATTTGAAGAGATGATTACTTAGATTTCACAATGTAGACATTTGAGGCAAACGGGTCTACCACCTCTATTGAATGAAGACCCCAGTCGCAGTCTCTACTTCACCTCTTACTAGCAGGAGCTAATAACAGACAGGATTGAGCCTCAATTTTATAGGGATCACCATCATCAGGAAAACTGGTCCACTCGGGCCCTTTGGCTATTTGGCACAGGTAATGCTACTATGTAGATGGGCAACAGTCTGACAATGTTGTCAGGATTTCTCCATGGTTCTTGGTTAATGTTTCATACCAACATGGCTTGCTTCGATTCCCTAGTACCTTGCTACTATATAAGCTGATCTTGCTATTCTCTTGTAGTCTCTCACTGAATAATAGACAGATACTGTGCAGGAACAGAAAGAACCATCATTTATAGCCATTGGAAAAACCTGAAAGCTTATGTTTGGTAATTATCACATTCATTTCATGTTTGAAAGCCTGCATTTTGCTATTTTGTCCCAGCATGACATCTCTTGGTGTTGTGCTACCCTTTTGATGAAATGGAAAATAGCCACTCAAATATTATAGTCTTTTCTATGATTTTAGTAAACTTTAAATATCTAGCAATTATAGACTTTTCAGGAAGTGTATTTGGCTTCATTTAGAAGCTTCAAAGAAACCTATCTAACCATTAAATTATTTTAGGTAGCCTAGACAATAAGATCAAACTTGGATAAAGCTATTTGCTTATACATTTATCTTGAAGCATAAAATTTATAACCTTCCAGTTTTCAAAGAAATATTGCTTTTTCAATTAGAATACTTACAATGTTCCATAATATTTTCAAAATAAAGAATCTCAAAAATATCTGTCTTGTACATTCCTAGCCTTTTACTTTTGTTTTCAAATACAAAGATGGAAAAAAAGAAAAAGTTGTTATATCAGCAATTTGGAAATGTTTCTCTTGCAGTAAGTTCCTTATCTTGCAACTGACATTTAAAATTCCAGAATGGTTTAGGCAGGTATGACAAATTTGTTTTACATTCAAGGGATCAACTTTGCAAAAACAACAAAAGTCACTGCAAATATATTTACGATAATGAAGTTGCATTAATCAATTGAGAAATATATTCATTTCAAAATTAATTGTACTAAGTTTGAAAGCAA